TTTCAAAAAGTGGCAGCGCAATAGCGAGAAACTAAACAGCAGGGTTGTGGTTTCTATTTTTCCCCTTATTTGAATGAACAAAAGCCGTTGGTACCAGGAAATGGCAAAATAAAATATCCAAAAATCAATACGAATTTTAAAATAAGTAACTCAAACTTGAACTTAACACATTACACTAAAATTGAATGAGCTATATAAAACTGCATACTTCGATTTTTAGAGTTCTGATAAAAAAATTGTTTACTTTGAGGCAATTTTGTTAAAATTTTTATATTTTTTCGAATAGTTTTAAAGTTGGATTTATATGGATGTCGTTATATAACGAGCTATACACACTCTATAAGTCACTCATCATGTCTGTGCTGGTGTATGGCGCGGAGGCAAAGCACCTGATGAGGCGGCTCTTGGAGTTTGCGAGAGCTAGATTCTGCGAAAGATTTACGGACCTTTACGCGTTGGTGATGGCGAATATCGCAGACGATTTAACGATGAGCTGTATTAGCTTTACAACGATATAGACATAGTTCAGCGAATTAAAATTCTGCGGCTCCGCTGACTTGGCCATGTCGTTCGAATGGACAGAAACGCTCCTGCTCTGAAAATATTCAGCGCGGGCCGCTGCCTCCTGGCCTCCTCTGCTTTGGAAAAATCAGGTTGAGAAGGACTTGGCTTCACTTGGCATTTCCAATTGGCGTCAGTTAGCACAGAAGAGAAATGACTGGCGTGCTGTTTTGGACTCGGCCAAAATCGCTTAGGCGGTTACAGCCCCAGTAAAGAAGAAAAAGAAGAATACATGCAGATATTTGAATCCGATCTCAGTAACAAAGACTTTTATTTATATATTATAGATTTGTAATATTTTTTGTCCCAGCAATGGGTTGTGCGCTGGGCTTGGGACCCGCCACGTAAAAACCACTTCCAGTGAAGAAGCAAGGCAAAGCCTCGGATGAGACCCCCCCTTATGATGACGACCACGGCAAATGTTTAAAGGACTACGATTTGAGGGCATGCACCTGGAATGTCCGGACCTTTGATGGGGAAGGTGCCTCTGCCTGGCTGGTTGATGTCCTCGTAAGGACAAAAGCTGGCATCACCGCCATCCAAGAAATGCGTTGGACGGGGCAAGGCAAACAATGTCTGGGGCCTTGCGACGTCTACTACAGCTGCCATGTAAAGGAGCGCAAATTCGGAGTAGGATTTGTGGTGGGAGAGATACTCCGTCGCCGAGTACTGTCGTTCACCCCGGTGGACGAGCGTCTAGCCACAATCCGCATCAAAGCGAGATTCTTCAACATCTCGCTCATCTGCGCCCATGCCCCGACGGAAGAGAAGGATGAGACATCCAAGGATCTCTTCTATGAGCGCTTGGAGCGCACGTACGAGCGCTGCCCCCTTCATGATATCAAAATCGTGCTTGGCGACTTCAATGCCAGGGTGGGCAAAGAAGGGA